AACTTGGAAGAGGATCATATTTCGTAACGTGAATTTAGAGTTCAAGTTTCCCCTTGTGAAAATAGGATCGGCGAAATCGGCGCGTATTATCGGATAACTTTTCAGGTTCTTTGGGCAATTTTAAATTTCCCAGCGAAAGAAATTCGATGGGGCGACGAGTCTGGATGAAGTAAAGTTGCTCTGACGTCTTTTTAAAACTTAGGAACGAGCTTTCGTTATCTATGTGTTCGTTATCTACGTGATTGTTCGCGACGGCATTAGAAATTAATCGTCCGACGTGAAATAAAAAATGAACTTTCTTATCTTACATGTTTTTGCAATTACGGCGGATGACTTCGATTTTAGAAAACGATGAGGCACCGCCGATCGAACGTCGTATTATTTCATCGGGATGATGTTATTTATAATTCGTCGCATCGCGCATCGCGCGATCATGTCTGGGAAACTTGGATTATTTCATACTACGTGCGCCGCGCACTTTGCACAATATTAGCCCGCCAACGCGGAATATTTCTAAGGCTTCCACTCGTCCTTGGGATTCAAATCGGACAGACTTTGTCACTATCTATTTGTTCGCCACAGTAGCGACCCGCTGACCTTTGGATGGACAGGCGGATCTGCAGAATGAACTTGCATTTCGAATAATTTGTCCATCGAAAAGAGGATAAATAAAAAAGTATATAAATTCTAATATTCCAAGTAGAGAGATCGGAGAGATCTTTCGTTCCTTTCGTGCAAACATATAAATTATAATTTACAACAATTCTTAATGATATTATTTAGTTTTTTGTTCTGTTACGTCAGAAAATTATTCTTTCGTAATTCGCGAAAGTATAAAAAGAAATCGGTGCAACTGCAGAATTAAAGGGTGTTGGAATCGCGTGTCTCTACACGCGTTTGTAATTGCGAAATTTAAGATGCGAGTTCTGGGCATTGCCGTGATCGCGTGTGGTCAGGAAATTCTGCGATGGGAACCAATCGACTTCCGGCTGATCGTGTGTGTGTGTGTGTGTGCAGATCGAAATTGAATTACGCGCGTCGCATCAGCGCGAGCTTTCGTGGTCGAGTGCTCTGGAATTAAAGGGAATGGCGTGTTCCGCGATGTTTATTCCGTATAAATTTATGCTCATACTGAGAACACTAAATCAGCCAATATTTGTGTAATGATAGTCTTTACCTTCTTTTCTCCGTTGTTTTTCATCGCAGCTTGTCATTACACGTTCTCCCGTTCGTGTGTTTTGAGACACACAGTCTGAAAACAGAAGCTCGCAAGCTTTAATCCAGCTAACATAGCTCGAATTATATAATTATCGAGAAAAGAAATTTCCAAAACTATGTTTTCAAGTAAATGGAGTAAGCGAAGTATAATGATCTATAATATTTTAGAGTGGTACATGGCAGATGGTAAATTGATAGCTTGTTTGTACAATCGATTTTTCCCTGGCGAAAGTATCGAAGGAGGTCATTGTCCATCCTGGATTTTGCAATCTTATGCATCTGTACAGCCAATTGAAATACCGCATTCAAGATATATTTCCACTATTTTTTAAATTTATGATGTGAAGAATCAGCGCTGATTCTCATTTGCCCATGTATCACGTCATATTTAATACCGAGAATCACTTCATTAATTTTTAAATCTAGTTTATATCTAGGTTTTCACTTAAATATAAACTTTTATTTTTTTTTCTCCCCTTTAATTACGGAAAAATATTTTAGCACTTGGTACTGGTATTTTCCTTTGTTTTGCAATATCGATACCTTCCAACATTATCCGAGTCCGGCGAATACTTTTGGATGGCAGCTCCGCTCTTTTACAAGACAATCGGCACAATTTTTATTAACGCGTTCTCTCCGCCGTTGAATGAGTCAGATCAGTCGCCAAGAAAGGCGAGGGTTTGCCAACAGCCGGTTACACGCACACGCGCGCGTGCACTGCCCGTGCCACGGCCTGTCGTAAATGCGTGTTAAGGTTTTTACCCGGCCGTGTCCCAGGCATCGAATCAGTCACTTCATAATTATCGATAATTGCAGCCTGGAACACTCCACGCCACCGGAAACGCGCATCGATCATCAGCTTATCACGGACAGCGGCTTATCTATATATTCACCCCGAGTGTACGTATTGCGTTCACCTCTCCTTGTCTCCTACGCAGTGCATAGCGCACATGCTCTTTGCGAGATTAGGTTTCATAATTTACGATCAGAATTTACAACAAAAAAAAAAAGGTTGAGTCACATGCGAATACGCGGTTATATATATATATATATATATATATATTATTTTTTTTTTGTGCAGCTTCGCATTTGGCTCGTTTTCTCAAGGAAGAACGAGCTCTTACTCGAGGCTATGGACGATTTCCGGCAGGTTGAAGATTATACGCGCCAAGTCTCGATTCGACCTTCTCTAATTGGCGGCTAATTCATTACGTCACCGCGGTGATCTCTCGGCTGAATGGGTGCTATTGAGTTCTGCGGTAACGAACGTTTTGGTTCGTTAGCGAACTTACCGGCGGGCCGATTAATTCGCGAGAATCCCCACACACAATTGCCATAACGTCGTTCGAGTTTTTCACGGACATCGCATCGCATCGCAACGCGCTCTCACGCATAACGCGTGCAGATCGTCCTCGATATAATGCGGCCCGCGAAATCCCGCGAGAAATGTTCTGAAACCGGGGAATGAAAGACGCATGTTCGCGTGTAACAGTTTTTTACGCAGTGTGATCAACGAAACGCGCCGTTTAAGTGCAGTTACATCATTACTTTGTTACGCGAATGAAATGGCAACAGATACAAGAGGCGATATTCTATTAGCACTTAATGTAAGAAGCGATTGACTTTTTATCTTCAATTCGTGCGAAAGTAGAATTTTTAGAAATTTTTTAGAATTTCTCTAAATACAGAAATATAGAAGTATATTTGAATATTAGGAGCATATCTTTATAAATTCTTCGCGAAAAGAAAATTTTTGCTGAAATATTTAAAAGTTTGCCTAAACATAAATCTGAAAATAATTTATATAAAATGTTCAAATTGATTTCCATGTTAGGACGCCTACTGAAATATATTGGGAATGAATTTTTATAATAAGACTATAATTATTTCTTCTTCAATATGCCATCGTAGTGTGAAACTTTCTGAATTATATTTCTGTAAAATAGTGCAGAGCGATCTCAATTTGTTCTGATGGTGACACGACTCGAGGTAGTCGATGCGCCGATAAAAATTAGACTCGTGTCACTCGTGTCATTCGTGCCGTTTGGGAAAAGGGAACAAAGGCCTCTCCCGTCCGATCGTAATGTTAATCAGTCGAGTTGCGCCTAGTCGCGTTTACTATTGTCCATATTTAAAGCATCTGGCCTTCGCGAACCTAAAAAAAAAATGGCATTGCACGTGCAGTCTGCTAACGATCGGGAAAACACGCGCATTGGCTGCGTGTCTTTTTTTTCTGTGCGCATTACGAGAAATAGCGGATGCTATTTGTCGTGTGTGATTCAGCGCGAACTCGTTGTCGGATAAACGAGACTTCGAGTTTTCAGGCCTGAAGAACTCGGAACGTATCGATGGATCTCCAGTTGGTCTGCTCCAGTTTTATTTCTATTTTGATATCGAACACCTACCGGATACAGATTGACGGATGTGACTGAGTTCCGTAGGTGAGGTCGAAGGTTTTTTTAATCTCTTGAGAAATGCAGTTCTCGCGAGTCTTCATCGGGCTGCTGGATAGTTAACACATTCACGCATTTTGACACGCTCGTCTCGTCTTGCAATTTCTTTAATCCCCGTGCATTAACGGGCATTCACGGGCAAGGCGCGTCTATTTTTGTCCGCGCTCTATTTCGGCCGCGGTATCTGGAGCTTGGTGAGCGACAGTGGACAGATATTCAAGTAGATGCACTTAAGACGCGTGCACCGAAGGCCGAGAATAGTGCGCCACGCGCGACAGGACGCTCACGTTTGATTAGCAAGTGGAGCACGTTCGTCAATTATGCCCGGCACGACAGCGTTATTAATCGCATCGCGTCAAATGATAATAAGCGCGCGACGCGATCGCACGTCAAGTATAACGTGACGAAGTGATTATGTAGGAAACGTGAGTGGGAGGAGGGGAGGGGGGGAAGGTGAAATGAGAGAGAGAGAATATTTTTATATCAAGTACTGATATTATCCATATCGATATTATTTTGCTTTATTATTATTTGAACTTTAGTCTAAGATTATAGATAAATTAAGACATTTTATAAAGTATCGAAGTATCGCGCACGTTTAAAAGATGTTTTATTGCGTTAAAATACATATGGAATGGCTAATCCAGATGTAACATATAAAAATGTTTACCGTTAAAATCTATCTAGAGCCTGATATTTTATATTCTCTTTTATATCTCTTAGGAGTTTAGGTTTTTGCTCAAAATTCTGAATTCAATATTCTAGAAATTCTTGGAAAATTCTTGGAATTTTAGGGTAGGATAACATCTTTGTCTTTGATACTTTGTCCATTATCAAGATTCTTGATTTTTGCTCCTGCTTTCTTGATTTGAACTCCTGAAATTCCTCCGAGTCGCGATTCTTGGAAATCTTAGAAATCTTGGAAAATTCTGGGAATATCGGTGCAACGTTCTTGCCGATTATATTCTTCTGGTACTTGTTCGATTTTCGAGATGCTTGATTTTTATGATTCGAAATTGACCGCCGCGTACGATCCAGGACGTCAGCACTTTGCATACGTGGGTATCCTCCTTGACGCAATCCTGCACTTTGAACGTAATGCGGTATTGCGGTGCAACAAGTGGCCGACACGCATTCTGCGTGTAATCCCGCTGTGCGTTACAGCGAATGCCCGCATAAACAATCTCGATAGTATCCTCGACAGACGCAAAAGTATTCGAGAGAGTAAAAGGATCGATGACTAATTTCGTCGAACATATCCCGGTCACCGCGATTAATCTCGTATCTAGATCTCCGCGTTCTGATAAATTATCGAATAGAAACATATAATTATGTAATTTTTTTTTTCTTAATGGAATACATATGTATTAAAACAGAATTAATACGTTACAATTATCTCGCTATCTTATTACACATGAAATATCTTTGAACATGTGTTACAATTGACACGTGAAATTAGAAATTCGCTAATGATTAGTTTTTATAATTTTCAATAATTTTATTTCTATACTGACTTATTTTTATACACGCTTACAACAAATTAGAGGAGGATTATTTGACGAAACTTTGAGATTTGTCTAGAAGTTCTTTTTAGCTAACACACAAAGATTATAATTATTTTACACATACGATATTACTTATGTTGGAGATGAAATATTTTTATATTACATTATTCTACTGGCATTTATAAAGATGATTTTCGTAAAATGGCGCACAACCTGATCTGACCTTTTCATGCCTAATGCATTCCAGGATGCAGGAATGCGCGTGTCACGTTGTTTAAGATACAAGATCCATCCCGTGTTTCTCCCTACCGTGTACGTAGCCAATGATAAAAAAGAAAGATGTAGAGAAACGTGTATAAGTCCTTGTCCGAAAGCGCACCGCATGTCGTCGAGAGCCGCACACACGTGGGCGCCGCAGCCTTATAAGGATGCCCATAAGGAGCTCTCTCAGCTCACCAAACCTCACCTTGCCTTATCTTATCTTACGTCATTTGCCGTCCCCGTCCGTGCTCCAGTGTCTTGCATCCCCACGAAATCCATTCGCTCGCTCTCTCGCTCTCGCGTGCAATCCTGCGTGTAGCCCAAATTCCACTTTCCCTTGTTGCCACAGCATTGCCACAATCCTCTATACGTTTATCGCTTTGTTTGAACAAAAAGAGACATAAAATTGTGAGATCAAAATTTTTTCGACTAAAAAAATTTTTTTTTTTAAGGCAATAAATAACTCGAGACTGTTATAAAATAAGTATCATCGTATTTCTAAATTTTTGTCTTATTTTTTTGTTTTAAATTTACATTGTATTTTTCAATGTCTATACGATTTCATTTTTATTCGAGGATTTTATTTAACGTCTACCATATGGTATTGTTTCCTATACTGACGGATTTATTGATTCGTCTGTCTTGACAAAGAGACGTGTGCAAGACCAAAATTTTATCGCAAAAATTATTTTTTTGAAGGCTATTGCAATAAATAATTCAAAAAGCTGTCATAAAATAATCATTGCATTTCGCAAATATTTGTCTTTATTTTATTTTAAATTTTATTTTAAATTTTTATTGTATGATGTTTATAATACGATTTTATTTTTACTCGAAGATTTTATTTAAGATCTACCGTATAGTATTGCTTCCAGCACCGGCGGATTTATTGATTCGTCTTTCTTGACAGACTCATAACTCCAACAGAGTTCGGTCTAAGAGAACCGACTTTGTTTCGATTCCATTCGTTTAAGTTCATCTTATGCGCCTACACGTATTTCGAGCTCTTAGAGCGCGGTTCCCAAAGAGGGCAGGCAACCGCTGAGAAAAATTTGCGTTCCGCGTTATGTGTCCTCAAGTATCGCCCACGATGCCGCGGGTCTCGCGAAATGAAACTGGAACGGCCGCGAACCGCCGATAGAAAGTAAATCGGAGTAAACCGCACAATAGTATCAGAGACCGTTATCTCTCTTTTCCGCCATTCTCATCGCCGACGGAGAGCAGGCAAAAGTAGGAAGCGTAACGTCGATCTACGTCGACGTCGTCGTCATCGTCGTTTGCGGCTGATTAAAGCTATGTAAAATGCGCACGCTCGCGTGACATCGCCGCCGGTAAATGGCAAAAGGCAGCGTGTGCATCGATCTCTCGTTTACATCGCGCGTATCGATTTTCAGCAAACTGCAATTTTATCGAACGGGAAATTCGCCGTAACGGCGAATCGTCGACGCGAACAGCATCGTTTCACCTCCGCTTCGAATTTCGCTTGGTTTTTCTTAGAACGTCATTCGATCGCGAACTGCGGTTCTATTTATTCACCGTTGGAAAGGGTACTTTTAAAAAAAAAAAAAAAAATTTTAATCACGACGAATTTCATTTTATTTTATTTCATCTAAAGACAGGATTTAATCCATGATGCGCGTGAATTACGTCATTTTATCTTGCAATATAAGTATCTTTATTCCGAGAAAATTATCTTGTGATGGGTAAAATGTTCGAGGAAAATTGCTAGAGACATTACAACGATGAATATGCCAAAGATCGTTTGTCATAGATCATTGGATGTAACATGAGAAGGACAGCACGTTCGGTTTTGGCGTTTCGCCAAAGGCGTGCTCGATTCGATGCCTGTCTTTATCTATTTTACGCGAATTTTGCGGGCATCGTTCGACAACGGTAGTGCCTCCATAGGATACAAAACTGTTTTAAACGCAAGTTTCTCGAGAAAAATTGCTGCAAAGTTGCGATAATTACCGCACAGTTATACGAGGCATCGTTCATCGTAGATAAACTTGTTTAATTATTATATGGGGGTGCTATCTACGATTTGCCATCTATGCACGATGTGCTGTTACTTTGCAATAATTTTACAGTTATTTTGCCATATACATAACTAGCAAACATAACTTGGACGATACCGATTGTCTTTGTAATAGACTCGAGATATTGAATTTCATAGATTCAATTAAAGAGCATTTAATTGAAAACGGATCTAACATTGAAAACTGCTGGAAAAACGACTCACGTGTCGTCTTCACGTGCGAACGCTTCACGCAAACATTTTTAAAGCACACGAAGGAGGATGACATAATGCCGTAACGCTTTTGCTGCTGCTCACATATAGAACATGCAAAGGCGTCGACATTTATCGCAGGCATGTAAAAGCAAATATAATCAGGCACATTACTTCATGTTAAAGACGCGATGCAATATACATTAGGCATTGCGTTATCGCAAAATTCTTTATTCATTAGCAAAGAAAAATTCAGAATTCTCAATATGGATTATTACATACGTAAATCTCTCTCTGAAACAAGTGTAAATTTTTTTTAGTGACACACGTGTCACTAATTTCGAAACGTAATAAATTCTCTATACTTTCTAACTTTTTTTATTTAATTTACATCAAATTCATGGATCGAGTCTTGTTGATTTGTTAAAAATTAAATAGTTTTTAATTTTTAATTGAAATTTACTTATCTCTCTGGTCCGTGGAAGATTTAATTTGCCTTCCCTCTCTTTGTATGCGTGTAACAGTGTGCTACGCAGGCGTGCATACGGTGTAATATACGTATGCCATTTTCCATGTTACCTAGCCTAACCTGGCCGAGTGGAATAGCCCAGCTGTTCAGTACTGGTGCCGTTAGCAACCCAGCTAAACGAACTTCGTATTCGAACTCAGCTCCGGCTGGTCGGTAACAAGCTCGAGTTCTGTAAAGTGGCGGTCTTTCGTGTCGTCGTCGCGAACTAGAAGGAACGACTTCGTCGTTTTCTTTCTTTTCCCTCCCACGCGACTACATTGGTATATTCCCAAGCATGGTGAATGCCTCGGACACAAAATCGCTAACTAATTTTGAGTGTGCTCCAAATCCGTCGTATTTCGTGGTTGTCCGAGAAAATGACAATGTTGCAGAACAGCTGATCCTGAGAACTTAACAACCTTGTTCGACTTGATATTTTTAAGAATTAATAAATAGATCACGTGATTAATGAGAAATTATTTTGGATTTAAATTAAGTTTAAAGTTTCCTTGTTAATTTTAGATTTAAATTCGCGATATTTATGCATTATGCAAGCTAAAATATAAGATATCTCAGATGCAATTAACATTTACAGAATTTTCAGATGAACGTTATAAACAAAATATCTTGAATTATTTTTGATTTTCTTAATCCTATGTCAATTCCTATAGCACCTAATTTGTACAAACTTAAACTACTTTAAATACTTTTATAAAATATGTATCGCTTACAATTCTCACATTGCTGCTTTCGCACGTTCACTCTCTCATTTTGCTTTCTGTATATCAGGCTCGTACATTTTTCTGTTTGTTCGCACGCTCGCCCACTCGCTCGTTTCCTCACTCATTCGCACGCTGAACTCTTGTTACACATCACGGGTTAACGACTCAATTTTCTACATTATTTTCTATATTCCACGTGAGTTACAGTCGATTTCAGTCATTTCTTGCCCACGATCCGATCTCAAAATTTCACGATGGAATATAGGTGCTTCTCGGTTCTCGGAAGCCATACTTAATACTTTACGCGTAAGATATATAGAATATATAATATCGATTTTAATATAATTTTATAATTGATGTAATGAACCAACGGACATTTATAGCATGAATATGCCAGAAATAGAACAAGGGATTTAATTTTTATTTCGTAAAAGAAGAAGAGAATTTTAATTTAAATATTTCAAATAAATTAATTAATTCTTGTTAATTATTTTACTTCTTTAGGTATATTTAGGATTTTGTTATTTTTTTTTCGTAGTATTCTTTTGTCTATTTCTTA